TGTGTGAAAAAATGCTAAATCATTACAAATCGCAACAGCCTCTTTTCGGTTGGAGAAATTCTTTCCAGATAATAGGGAGCATAAACATTTTGTATCGAAGTTTTATTCAGAGATTTATGCCCTAATTGTGGATAAACTGGCATGGTTGAGAAAATCTTGGGGGACGTTGCTTAAATGTGAAATAGATATACAGGCATGGGACAAAATCCTGCTCCTTCCATCTAAAATCTCTGTTTGTAACCGATTTAAAGAACTGCAGTACAAAATCCTGCACAACGTATATATTTCTCCGTATATTTATAGTAAGTATAATATGGGAACATCTCCAAATTGTCTCAAGTGTAAGGTCAGAGTGGGCACTAGATTCCACTGCTTGTGGGAAAGTGCTATTATTCAATCATTTTGGAAAGAGCTCTGTGCCAATATTAGTACAGCCATTGGTCAGCAGGTGACAGAACACCCATTAATGTGCTTATTGGGATATATCCCTGTTTCACTGGTACAACATGAGCATGTAATTCAGTCACTGTTAATGTTGGCCAGGAAAAGCATTATGTTGAGATGGCTGGCAGCTGAGCCTCCCTCCATTTCTCTATGGAAGTCGCTCATCATTGATGTTATGACTCTGATCAGTTTGGGACATTACATTGATGGGAGCTCCCGAGGTTTTGTGGACAAATGGAAGAAACCACTGGAAGCACTGGGAGTAACTTGTAAACTGGACCCTAATGGACAATTATTATGGACATAATGTTGTAATATTCTAGTGCTGTGCAGAATTGTTATTTTGGACGTGAACCAGTCTTGTATTTGTTGGGGGGAAAAGTTAAATAAAAGTTTTAAAAAAAAGAAAACACCAGAACAATGCTGAAAAAGCACACAAAACACAGTGGAGATGGGGAAAAAACACAACAGAAGTTAAATAAAACACACTACAAGTAGAAAAAAATCTCACAAAATATGAAAGAAGTGTTTTTGGGGCGATATTAATGTCACGGACCAGCTGTGGAAGTGACAGATACCAAAACATGCGAAGGGCTGCACTGAAATATGCTTAAAAGAACCGTAGGATTCATCAGTGTTGTGAGTAAAAAAAGATGTAGGTAATGTGGGTTTTAATGGCATCATCCATATAATACTGCGGACCCATTTTTGCTATTAGCCCTTCACTGTTAGCATATCACTTCCATTGTAGGAGGGAGAAGAGATAAGTGCTGACTGGATCAAGAGAAGAGAGGAGAAGAGAAGAGGGGTCTAGTTACAGGTTGTGGGGGCCTTTGTTGGCTGAGGTACATGGTTCTGTGGCATGCTGTAATCAAGTCCTCTCACAGACTGACAGCTTGGCACTTGTTTACAGAGGACTTTAATTTCCCTGACAGTCCTTTCCCTCCACCAATCACTCCATCTTCCCTTTGCCCATTCTGTGTAGAGTCTTGTCTTTATTTTTCTCCCTCAGTTACCTTTGTCTCACTCTCGCTCTCCTTGCTCTCTCTATCGTACCCTGTCACTCAGTCGTAACCCCATTTGCGCCGGCAACAAGTTAATGGTTGCTGCTACAGCTGAAAAAGCTTCCTGTTTTCTTCTGCACAAATCCATTTGTTTTATCATCATTTATTTTTGTCTATTTACACAGGCCTGAGGGGGAGGAATTGCTGAAGCATTTGGGCAATTTTTTGTGTTATTTCCCAAGCTTAGCCTGGGGATAGAATCTCACCAGAGCTAATTTTCAGTCTAAACTTGTTGCTACTGTTACTGCACCAAAGTGGATGGTAATTTATGTATGCTTCCATTTCCATCCGTACTGTAGGCACACCGAACACCCACCCTTCTACAAAAAGGTGTCAAGTCATTATAGTATAATCTTATGTATTAAGAAGATGGAGCAAACTATGGATTCATTTTTCACTTGTTGAAATCCAAAAAGTGTGAGCAAAGTGCATGACTATTTAGAGCTACAACAAAACAAAGATATTGCCACTGATGTACTATTAACCAACACTGTCCATTGGTTTTTTACTTCTCTTGACATCGAGTCAATAGATTTATTTCTACAGTAGATTTCACCTGTATTTGCTTGATTTTATTATTATTATTATTATTATTACTATACATTGGGACACTGTTCTGTTCTTGCTAATTTGCCAGAATTGTCCAGGGTTAAATCAATACTTTGCTTTTTCACTTTACCTCTTTAACTTGGAGAACACCCTGATACTCAATGACAGTTACATTTGGATGACTGATGCTAGGTGCTTCTATCTGTTTGATTGTGGTTTCCAGCTTCTGTTCCAGGTGTACACATCTTTTCTCAGTTTTCTCCAGTTTACGGACTTTATCTTGTAGGTCTGTCTCTTACCCACTCGCCTTCAATTCTTTCATGTTTTTTTTTTCATCTATTTTATTTTTTAATTACTGTTATAAAGTAACAGTCAATAAGAAGACCACATACAAGGACATTACAGAAGGCTTTGAGAATTTGAATGTTTGAAGATACATTACACACTATTTAGCTTCTAAGAAAAAAATCTCTGTATATGTCTGTTACCCATGGTAGAATTTAACAACAACAGTATTGTAAAGTAAAACTTGCAGGGCAAGATGTTTTTAAACTTTATTTTGGTTCAAGGTAAGAAAAACTTTTGAGCATGTTTTAAAAATTAGATTTATTATTGATCCTGAGCACTGAAAGCTAAACTCATTGTAGATAATGTTTCCAAATAACTGTTACAATATGGCTCTGTTTTTTGTTTAAAAATAGCTTCTGAGTAGCAAAGCTCAGTAAACTGTAATAAAGGGCCTTCTAATGGCCTATTAGAAGAGTTTTAAAATAGACTCGAGGAGAAAATAGTCTGTAAAGGTTAGTGACCAAAATAAACAGCTGTGTTTATTGAACAAATAAACAGCTGAAGCACTGAACTAAAATGTAACTAACTAAAATGTTAGCACTCACATTATTAACTAAAATTCTCTAATACTCACTACATGGAAAAAATACACACATTAATAGATGACAATGAACACAAACAACACACTAAATTCAAGATGGGGAAAACATCACCTGAATTAGCCAGTAATTTCAGTGTTAAATGTGGAAACCTCTAGTAAACTGCCCTAAATGCTTAGGACTCAGGTTGGCTTTCTAGAGTGGGTCAGGTCGACACAAGAGGAAACTGTGGATCTGAACCATAGTGCAACTAAACTTATTGTGACTTGCAGTCTCCCTGCAAATTTATAATTTAATATAACAAATACTGATTTTTTGCAAGGGCAAGTTGCTGAGCTCACACAGCGCTGTTGCTAGTCCTTTACAAGACCCTAACCCAAAACTCCAACCCCAATTTTTTTTATTTGTGTGTGGTCAAATTTGGGACTTTGCAGGGTGGCTTTATGATTATTATTTTTGTTTTGTTTTAATATTCTTATCCAATATATCCAATACACTGGGGACAGATTGTAATTCATTTTTATGTAAGAAAGGCTGGAGAAAGTGTCAGGCTTTTATCTTTAATCATTTTTGAGATGCATGCATCTCCATGTTTGGACTTTGCCTTGGATTTGAAAGTGCAAAAAATACATGCTTGGAATTGGTCGACATATCATTTTACAAAAAAATATAGCTTGAAAATTGTTTTGCATGTGAAATGAAAATTTTAAAAGGAATCATTATATGTATAGCCCAAAAAATTATAAAATTGTTCAGCAAATCAGAGGTAGTCAAGCAGAAGAGCCACAATGGTTTAGGAAGGAATGACCTTTAAGTGAGTCAACACTGAAAGGTTGAGTCCCAAAAATTTACATGATTGTCTTATGTATTTTAAGTCTTTCTGGGAGGGAGGGGGGGGGGGGGGGTGTAACTGTTTTTAACTGTTGTTGTTGGTTTCATTCCACAGATCTACCCCAGTCTGTGTGAAAGGTGTTATTATAGGACACAATGACCACAACATTACTTCAGTATTTACCAAAGATGTTGCTGTGATGTATAGATAGCTGCATTAGTGTATCTTCTCTTTGCCCACTGCAGGCCTGTTGGGTTTTGGCTGACCAGGGCTCAGTCTCTTCTCTACTGCAATGAGCATGGAATGCTGGGCTCCTTCTCTGAGGAGGTGATGAGCTGTAGCTGCCCCGTGGAGCAGCCAAACTGCCAAGGAGTCATCCCCTGTGTTGTAGGGACTTCCACCACCTCCTGCACCCTCTGCGCCTCTGACAACGCCACCCGTTGTGGAGCCTGTCATCACGGCAACATCCTCCATCTTGGTTCCTGTCGACCTAGCATTGCTGCATCGCTAGATCATTACCTGAACTTTGACTTGGACATGCCTGATGCCGAGGTTCTCAAAGCTCCTTAATTATGTATTCCACTGGTTCTCAAAGCTCTTTGGGACAAATTAAACAAACAGTGCCTCAAAGGGCTCACATGCCATCAATTGTTAAATTGTTTTTGTGTTGAATCTTTATACTGAACATACAAGATTTACATAACAGTACAAATATTAGTCATGTACAGTTTTTTTGTTCAAAAAGGAATACAGTATTAAACAGGGATTGAGAGGGGGTTTCAAAATAGAAAGCTGACTCTGAAGTACCTACAGTGCAAAGAGTCCTTTCATTCAGCAAGCCCAGGAGCAAAAACTCATACTATGCTTTTTTAATAAATCACCACAGCAGTTATTTTCTAGCCCTCAAGAGGTCTAAGTTGTCACTGTTGAACCTCTGCCTTAACTCTAATGCTAGTTCACAAGCCTTCAAATTGTGGCTCTTTAGACCTACTTGAGTGTCTTCCTTTGGCTTTGACAAAAAACTTGATAAATATGAAAATGATCCTCTTAATTTGCTGAACCTCAATAGCAATGGCTAGCAAAGATGTGGAAGCAAATAGGTGATCTCTAGTAAATGGTATGCCTTTACATTTTTTCTTTACAATAGTTCCCTTTTATTGCTTTTGACTATAATAAAAATAACTTATATTAAGCAAATTTATTTATTATGTATTTATTATAGTTAAATAATCACATTTTATAATGCCAATGCCTAATCAGAATGTCTAATTTTTGCTTTTTATTAAAATGTCTTTAAAAATCATTAAAAGTTTTACAAGGGGTCTAAGGAGCTTGGAAAGAAAAGCGTCTGGACTTCTTTAAGTTTCATTTGAGAAGCTTCTTCAGTTCTAAAAGCAATTGGTGGAGAGTCCCAAATTTTAAGCCCTATGGGAGTGTCCCCAAGAGGGTCATGGACCCCCTATTGATCCTCTGCCTAATCACACGAGCCATGGTGTGAAAAGGATGTGAGTGGGCGTTAAGGCGTCTAGGAAGGGATCTCAAAACTGGATTATAGATGGCAGACTTTCTCGGATGAGAGGTGAAACGTCTTCAAGAAAACTTAAAGAAGTCCAGACGCTTTTCTTTCCAAGCTCCTTAGACTACGATGACCTGGATGACTGAGAACCTTCACAGACATTTTACAACGGTTTTCAGCATTTGTAAACTAAAGTTGTAAAACATCCATTGTGGCTCTTGATGAGATTTATAAATTCTGGCAAAGGTGGTAGTTGAAATTTAAAATTTGGTAATAGCTCAGTTTGAGAACCAGTGCGTTAATTATCTATCTGCTTATTGCATTGACTGCAGCCTCACGGTTTGTTAATCCCTCTTCAGGTAAAGTACCTGCTTCAGCGACTGGACAGCAGGATAGAGGTCCATGCCATCTATATCAGCAATGATGTCCGCCTGGGAAGTTGGTTCAATCCTGCCTGGAGGAAGAGGATGCTATTAACACTCAAGAGTAACAAAAACAAGTCCAACCTCATCCACATGCTAATGGGCATTTCTTTTCAGATATGCTCAACTAAAAATTCAACACTGGAACCCGTGCCTGCTGTCTATGTGAATCCTTTTGGGGGAAGTCACTCAGAGAGCTGGTTCATGCCAGTGAACCAGCCTGACTTCTCTAACTGGGAGAGAACTCGACTGGACAGCGTCACCACTGCACAGTGTTACAACTGGACTCTGTCTCTGGGCAGCAAGTGGAAATCCTTTTTTGAAACAGTGCACATCTACCTGAGAAGCCGCATAGTCACGGATGATCCAACAGTGAATGAAACTCTCTTCTATGAGCCATTGGACTTGGATGATCAGACCTCCAACCTGGGCTACATGAAGATCAACACGCTGAAGGTGTTCGGATACAGCATGCACTTTGACCCTGAGGGCATCAAGGATCTGATTCTCCAGTTGGACTACCCCTACACACAGGGTACGCAGGATGCCGCCTTTCTGATGTTACTGGAGATGAGAGACCGGATTAATCGGCTATCTCCACCAGCACCACAGCCATTAGATCTGTTTTCTTGTCTCCTGCGCCACCGCCTCAAGCTGTCAGCCGGAGAGGTGGCACGAATCAAGGACTCTCTGCAGATCTTCAATTCCAAGCTTCCCAATGCTTCACCTGAACCTGAGCTGGCCCAGCTCTGTAGCTAGCTAGTTTAGCACAATCGCTAGGTTCAGGAATGATGCTGTTCGTAGAAAGAGGAATTGCTACTTCAGGGACGACTCTGCTGAGATGGCCTTTGGACCCGAATCATCTGGATTAACGTACTCTGAAGAAGGTTGAATGCTTGGCCTTTTTATGGTCACTCTCAGTTGGTTTTCTGGTGTTTTACCTTTGACAAACAGCATCATGTCCTTGACTTTTCGGAGAATGAGGGATACTTTGACTTTGTTTAGGAGGCTGTACTGAACCCACCCGTAGGTTCACTTTTGCTATTACTGCCCTGCAAACTGCGTAACTGGACAAGGCTAAAAAGGTTTCTTTCACTGACAAGTTTTTATGATTTGGAACAATAAAAAGAAGATCATACATAAGACACCTGCCTTGCAAAGACAAACGCGGTTTTCTTATAAGAGGAACTCTTCAGAGGTCTTCAAAAATTAGCGGAAGAGGATTTCCCTTTTCTAACCCTATTTTCTTTGGCTACAGAACAATCTTGAGGGAAGGGAAAATGGGATAATTATATATATGTGGTGAATGAGTTGTTATGTTATGCTTAACAGTTTAAAATTTGATAATCTTGAACCCTGTCACTGTCTTTGAATATTTCTTTTTAAACCCTACCTTCCATTTTATCTGGCATTTGAAAACTTGTATCTATGCTTAACATCTGAGTGAGAAGCCTGTTAGTGATGTTCTGTCCTTGGTGGCTTGTCTGTACCAAAAGAAGGTAACACATTGGCAATTTGAATGGCAAAATATCGTAAATGTTGAGTTATTATTCTTTCACTTTTGAGCTGAAATAATTCATAATGGAACCTTCAGATGTGGTAACAAAAAGGTCTGCGGATATAGCGCTGTAAATAACGCTCCATCTAACCCAGGTTGTGGACAAGTGCACATTGCTTTTTAGATAACTGAGTTCAAAGACCAAAAAAATGTTTATAACAAAACAAACTCATGCCTTATATGGAGAGTCAATGTTAAGGTAAGAAGCACATTTAGTTTCTGTGTTTGGTTTCCCTGCGAAGGTTGTATTGCTTTTTATATTTCAATATTTCTACCAAGACAGAACAACAGACGCATTCTCCAGAGTACGTGGTAATGTAGCTTTTCCATGTAAATGCCAGTCACTCGTTCTGCAGGTACTTGTTTTGATTTGGTGTTGTGAAACTTTTGAATCACCATTCACAGTGCACACCAGTACATGCATAATGTAATTGTTCTGCAAAATCCTCCAATGAGATAAACTTTCAGTAAATAATAGAACATGGTTGAATTTATGGTTTTAAAAGGTTTTCAGTGGTTCGGTTAGTCTCAGGTCTATGAAACTTTTCTTTTTTTTTTTTTTGACATATGGGTCCAATGTGAGCTGCAGTTACCACGGCAACTGGAGTTACAAGGTTTCTGCGGGGCGGTGATGCACTTGAAAAGCTGCAAACTTAACCAGGATGATACTTGATATGATTTTACTTTTGCTTCACTAATTTCTCACTGAAAGTTAGAAAACCTTGTATGTCATTATCAACAGTTCTTCTGTGCTCAGCTTGCTTAAGTAAAAACAAAGTGATTTATCTATCTGAGAGCCTTTTCCTTGTTTACAAAACTTTTTTAACCCTCACTGTTACGTCTGTTATATAGCATTATTGCCATATTACCTCTTTGCCTGCATGTTACAACGTTGTCTTTGGTCAATTCAAAGACATATTGATAAGATTAGCTGTGAAGATGATGTCATGAAAAAGTGCAATGATGGTGGCGGATGTGGTCAGAGCTACAGTAATAGTGGTAGTAAGGGGTGACACAAGACCGTCTCATCTTACCACCACTAGTTGTTCATTGTTCTAGTGTAAGCACAGTTTTTCACATTTGCATTTATTTATTTCACAGACAACACAGATCTGTTGTTAAGTAATTTCTTGTTAAGTACATGTGCCACGCTATCACTATTGCATACACTATATTAGTTGTTTCTGTTTCCGGTCCACCTAATGGGTGCCAGGCAGAATTATCAACGTGGAAAAATGGGAAACTAATCAAAAAAACCAAAACAAATTCAGTCGTTTATTTTGTTTTCATGTCCTTACTGAAAGCATTTGACTAATTTGCAGCTGTTTTTATGCCAGATATGCTGGTTAGAAACCAGCCTTGCATAAACATTTAGACTTTTTCAACATTGTCATGTTCGATAATATTTGCAGCTTTTGACGGTGGACTTATAAATTAGGTCACCATGCTGCAGTTTCCAACTAAGTTAAAGGCAGGTAATGCATTTTCTGTGGATCAATTTTTCAAATGAAGAGGAGAATTCTTGTGCATCTACAGGGAGGCAAAAGGAAGAAGTGGTAACAGGTCAAATGTTTCAGTATTTTATCTCAGTCTCAAAGCCAAGTAAATTATCAGCAACTAAGTGATGTTGTTAGACTTTAAAATTATTGTTGCTAGTTTGTGCACTAATCTTATACTAAAGTCTTATACCCTTTTTAAATATTTAGTCAGCTGTTGCCTGCATGTAACAACCAATTACAGCGACTGGCAAGAAGCCAGTCAAAGCCAAACAGAACAGGTTAATCTGATCTAAAAGGTTAACCTTAAGAACAGGATTAACTGCATTAAACTCCCTGCCTCAGAGGCTCATTTATGGGAAGTTAGAAACAAGAGTGAAAGACAAAAATGTGCATTTTACAGTAACATTCTGTTAGTATGGTTCAATTAATTTAATTTAGAATATTACTATATTTTTACAAGGTGACGCTATAAAACTAGTGATGAAGGAATTTCTACTGTATTTTCTCCAAAATTGTCGCTATTTCAAAAGTAAATATCTATTGAGTCTGCAGGTAGTGTAATTTCACTTGGTGATGGTGTTCTTTCAGTCACTGTCCACAGTTCATGCAAACAAATATGCTACTATAACTACAGTTAAATGGAAGCACTCAATATTTTAAAACATACTACTAACACAGACCCTTATTCACTAATATGTGAATATAAATGTTCTCACTGTGTCCACAAAATAAAAGCACAGAGGAAATTATCATTGGATTCATGAAACAGGTTGAATGGAGAGGGTGAGAAAAACAGCTGGAAGACAATGGCAACCACATCTGTCAGCTGAAGATTAGGAAACTCATTGCAAATATAAGAAAACACGAGTAAGTGGAATATTGCAGAGAAATTAGACTGTCAATGAATTTTCAACCATTATGTTGAAGATTTGTTGGTGTGTTTGGGATCATTGTCCAGTTGCATGACCCAATGTCAGCAAAGCTATGGATAGATGGCTGTACATTTGATTCTATAATAATAATAATAATAATAATAATGGATTGCATTTATATAGCGCTTTTCAGGGCCCTCAAAGCGCTGTACAATGCCACTATTCATTCACTCTCACATTCACACACTGGTGGAGGCAGCTACAGTTGCAGCCACAGCTGCCCTGGGGCAGACTGACAGAAGCGAGGCTGCCATATCGCACCATCGGCCCCTCTGGCCAACACCAGTAGGCGGTAGGTGAAGTGTCTTCCCCAAGGACACAACGACCAAGACAGACAGAGCTGGGGATCGAACGGGCAACCTTTCGGTTACAAGATGATTTGAAAATGTCCTTTTTACCCATTCCAGATTGATTAAATTCATTTCAGTTTTATTCATATACTGGTAAATCACAACAATAGTCATCTAAAAGCACTTTGTATTATAAGGTAAAGACCTTAGAATAATACAGACAAAACCCCAACAATCAGATAATCCCCTATGAGGAAGCACTTGGTGACAGTGGGAAGAAAAAACATACTTTTTAACAGGAAGAAACCTCCAGCATAACCAGGCTTAGGGAGGGTCAGACATCTGTTGCAATAAGTTGGGCCTGAGGGGAGAAGAAGCGAGCAGAGAGGTACAGTACAAAGGACAAAGTATAGAAGAGAGCCCAGAGTTGAATAATAACTGATTAAATGCAAAGTGGTGTATAAACACACAGAAAGTGAAAAGAGGTCAGAGAAAAAGAAATGCTCAGCGCATCATCGGAAGCCCCCAGAATTCTACAACTTGATTCAGCCCTAACTATCAGCTTTATCAAAAAGGAACGTTTTAAGGCAAATCTTAAATGTGTAGAGGGTGTCAGTCTTCCAATGAGAGGCCTGAAAACCTAAAGCTCTGTCCCCATCCTAGTTTTAAATATGTTAGGAACCACAAGCAGGCTAGCAGTTTGAGAGTGAAATGGCCTGTCAGGGTGATATAGTACTATGACTTAGTGACTAATTTAAGATGTGATCAGGCCGGTTTATTCAAGACGTTGTATGTGAAGAGAAGAATTCTTCCACTCTGGGTTTAACAGGGAACCAATCAAAGGAAGATAATTTGGGAGAAATATGGTTTATTTCTAGTCCCTGTCATCACTGCAACATGCTGGATCAAGTGAAGGTTTTTAGGAAGTTGGTCAAAAATGACTCCAAGATTTCTCACAGCGTTACTGGTGGTCAAGGTAATGCCATCCAGAGTAAGTATGTGGTTTGTCGCCAAGTTTTTAAAAGATTTTTAAGGCTGAGAACAATAACTTCAGTTTATGTGACTTTAGAAGTAAGGAATTAAAGGTCCTCCAGGCTTTAAGACGGGGGTCTCAAACTCACGGCCAGGGGGCCACCTGCGACTCACATCGCCCCTACTTGCGGCCCATATATTGACGTGAAGAAATATAATGCAGTTTGGCACTTGAGGATTTGTTTGTTGTTGTTGCAAAAGTAGAAATTGAGTCTAAAAGACATATTGCTTGCTTAAGTAATAACAAAGTGGTTTATTGCTTTGAGGACCTTTTTGTGTTGATTAAGAAGTAACATATTAGCAATAAAGTATTATACAGATAAGACTGTCTTCAGCTTTTCCAACACATATTGGTGAGATTCACTATGAAAATGTTGAAGTGAAGTATGAAGTGGAAAATGCAATGCTGGTAGTGAGGTTAAGGTTAAGGGGATGAGGTCTGACTGAACTAGACATCTAATACAAAATACAATCTAATACAAGGAGGGTAAAACATTTTTAAAACTTTATAGTCCTACATTCTTAAATTCGTAATTGGTATTTTCATGTTTCCTGTTCAACAACCAGGGTAATCAGTCAGAAAAAATGGGCTACTATCCATTGATGACAGAACATAGATGGCCTGAAAAGCTTCAGGTTTGCTTTACTCTAGGTGTTTATAAGAAATTTGATTGATTGTTTTGATTCACTTGTATCTCTGAAATAGAGAGTCCATTGAGCCTCCAAATCTTGTTCTTAAAGGTGAATTATCATTATTATTATTATTAAAGTTGAATATTTCAGTTTCTCATTGAAATATTCACTATTAATTTTTTTAGTATAGTGTTAAATTGAACTGAAACGATTTTGTAAACTTGGAAAACTAACTAAAATTAAATAATAATAGAGGAAATATCCCTAGCTTTAATATGCATTACTTTGGTAAAAATTGCATTACACGTTCCTGTTGAGACATTGATGGATGTGTTTATTTTAGATGTCTACAAAAGGGTGAGTTAACTGCTTTTGAAAACGCCTGTGTTTTTATTGTAATACCTGTACTAATTTTTGTAAATCTTGCCTCTAACGTATGCCCTCCATATTATAGTAATTAAAAAAAGACTAAATGATGAAAAAACTGAACTGAAAAACTATACAATTAAAAAGTAAATACTCTGGGAAATAAGCCTGAAAGCCTAAGAGTGATGTGCTCTATCAGGATAACGTGGTACTGTCGGTCTTAGGAGATGATAGGCTCTGATCAGTTAGGACTTGAGTGTACGAGAGAAGGATTTCACATTAAATTCTGGATTTAACAGGAAGCCAATGAAGTGTGACCAGAGGGAGTCCCATTCCTACTGCGGTACTTTGTACCAGGAAACTAGGACAACCTGATAATACAGAATTGTAACAGTCCAGCCTAGAGGTAAGAAATGTATGAACTAATGTGTAGCGTCGTTCTGAGAGAAAAGGTTTCTCATTTTTGATAATATTACACGAAAAAGAGAACATAGTCCTAGAGATTAAACATTTTTCAAGTTTCGAATAATACAGCTAGAAGGAAAAGAAAATTGGAAATTCAGAAAAATAATACACCACAGTTTTATGCTAGGCAGAGATGGCAAATTTGAACAGTGTTCAATTAAAGAAACAAAAAAAAAGCAGATGAATACAGATATGTAGAAATGAAGGGAAAAGACAGACAGACAGACAGAGGTTCTACAAAAGACTACACGAACAAAGAAATGTGACAGAAATGTCATACTTTCATCATAATTTCCACCATTTGCGATTTGACTGGCATTTATATAATTATACCGTCACATTGTGCCCTTTTCTTCTGTAATGTCATGTGAGACTAGAGAGATGGCTTCAACACTATCTCATCGCACCAAGTTTCTAAGATAAGTCTAACAGTAGTTTGGAATATGTATTAAAAATGTAAAAAGTTAAATGGAAACTTTGCTGTTGGGTTTGAGGTAAATAAAGGCTGGTTCATATTCTCTTCTTCACAGCAACTTTCTGTGTTGTATTCATTATGCTTGCACAATCAAACTGACCTCAGTGCATCCATGAGGCAACTTGCAAAGCATCGCAGACCTTAGATTCAGACCCTCTGAGGTCTACATCTTATCTAATTCTGTTATTAGAGCATTTGTTCTTTTAAAAAATTGCTCTCTCAGGTCTTTGCACTCAAAAAACTAAAAACAAAGAACAAACAAACAAACAGTGGATGGATGGCATTCTACCTCGAATGCATCAAACTGCTCACATGTTTTTCCTTTTTGCTTGTCTCCAACACATAGTGTTAGGGTATGAGTTATCACTGATGATGACCTAGAGGGTGAACATTTGATATAGTTTTCATCCATTATGAACATTCAAATGGAAAAGCTTTGAAAATAAATAAGAAGCATATTTAGCATGTCTAATGTCAAAAGATATACGATTTTATTTAGCATGTCACAAAAACAAAACATATCCCATGACAGTATCCACTACGTTACTGGTGACCTAAGTGATCTTCTAGAAATTATTTTCTTCAAATTTCCTCAATTGGGTCTACAATATGAGGACAATTCTCACTGCATGTAAATTGCCTAAATGACATTGAAGCTGTGACTTTAGCCTGGTGAAATTTTTACATGCAACATCAAAATGTTCACCACAAAATGTTTAATATAATGGATGCACAAACTTCCAATTACCATCAGCTCTTCATAATAAGATGAATGTCTTCTAATATATGGGAGGCAGTATTTTTTGTAAGATGAAAAGCCAATTTCCTGAGTTGTCAGGGCGCAAACAGGAACCAAACGTACACTGTCACATTACATCAGGCTGCTGGTTTATCTGCAAGAGGAAGCAAGAGAGGAATGGGGAGAGAGAGAAGAGAGAGTGACAGAGATGAGGTGAGGGAGTGCTACACTGGCCAGCTCAAGCTGTCTGTATTTTTTCCCCCTCTACCCCATAATGATGTGGGGAAGGACTCACTCTGCATTGGGTTAATAAACAGTTATTCATCTTCAGCAAGGCACCCAGGAAACAGAAGTGGGTTTGCCCTTGGGCTAATCTTCAGGCCCGTGGAAGACAGCCAATCCATCAGAGCACTATTTAGACTGCAAACTGCAAACTTTCTGGACCT